CACTGATGAGACCACAGCAACGTCTTCAAGAAACCGCAGATTGACGAAACGGCCAAAATCTACGCGACAAACAACGCACACAAGCAAAACATGCTATAAGTCTACTGAAACAGGAAACAACCATTTTTAATGGATTCTATGCATTTTTATGAATTTATTGAGACTTGAATGGACTTAATCGGAACTCGGATGAATTAGTTATGATTTTTAGAAGATAATCTGTGTTTTAACTAATAAAGAAAAGGCCTTAATTGATTTATTGCGCAATAATACCCAGGGCTGACGTCATCCAAGGGGGCCGGCACCGACAAGCGGGCCCTGCATGTCAGCGGCTCATAGAGCGCCGGTTCACCGTGGACCGGGACCACACGGGTGGTCCATCGCCGGTCCACGGGACCAACGGTCCGGATCGACCGGGAGCCGATCAGATGGCGCGGCGGCGGCCAGGCATGGCGCGGCCTGGCACAAAGCCGACCGGCCGGCCATGGCAAGGTGGCGGCGGCGACCGGCGCGAGGGCGGCGGTGCGCACAGGAGGCGGCGACGCGCACGGGTGAAGGAGAGGAGGAGAGGGGGGGTTTCTCACCGAGGTTGGCCGGCGCGAGAAGAGATGACGGCGAACGACGCCGGCAAGCGGTGGATGGCGAGGCAAGCGGGTGGACGACGTCCGGAGTGACCTAGGAAAGCAAAAAAGAGGATTCAGAGGGAGAGAGGTGGTTCGCGGCAACTGGCAACACCGGCCGAAGGCGAGTAAAATGGAGGGGCTCACCGGCGGCGGGGAAGACGATTTCCGGTGGGATTTCAGCGACGGGAGGTGGCGGCCGAGGTAGCTTCCGCGGCGGCGAAGCTATCAGCGGTGGTGGTGCGGCGCAGCGAGGGCGCTAGTGGCGACGGCGTGCGGCTGGAGATGGGCGGCGGCGATGGAGCTCGGGGAGAGCGGCGCAATGGCGGTAGAGAGCACGGGAGGATGCGGCGAGAGCGGAAAAAGAGAGAGGGGGCTTGGGGGAATGTTTTATAGGCGAAGGGGGAGGCGGACGTAGCCGGGGAGGGGCCCAATTTGCCGGCGACATGGAGAGGTGGAGAGAGAGAGAGAGAGTTGGGGAAGGTGGGCGCGCGCGCCATTTGCGGCATTTGCGGGCGCGCGCACTTGCGGGAGGTGTGGGGAAGGTGGGCGGCGACGTGGAGGGCGTGTAGTGGGGTGCGGAAGGCGGAGGAGGTGGGCGGCAGCGGCGGTTGGGGCAGGCGGCGGCGGTTGCCGGCTAGAGGAGGAATAAGGGGCCGACAGGTGGGCCCCACCTGTCGGTGACCCGGAGGGAGGAGGGAGGGGACGTGGGCCGGCCCAGCAAGGAGGAGGGCGGCGCGGGAGGAGTGGGCCGACGGCCCAATAAGAGGAAAAAGAGAAAATGGAAAATGAATTACCAGGGACTTAAATATTGCTTAGAATTGATTTTAAATGGGTTAAAATTATTTTCGAGGCTCTGAAAATTCCACTAAAAATCCTGTTAATGTATTATGACATGTGGAACCCAAGAAAAATCCCACAATGCCATTTCCCATTATTGATTGCATTTATTAAATAAAGAATTAGCTCTAGGTTAATTTGAACCAATTTCTTCAAGCGATTTATTAAACAAAAATTTAAAACTAGCAAGGGGAACTTTAGGGCGTGACACAGTCCGAGCAGGCGACTTTGGCTCCTAGCAGTGGGCTCCTCCACAGCGTCGATCTAGTGGCTTAAGAGGTGTCAGTCTCGGTCCTCATCTGAAGTTGGTTGGCCTCGCTACCACCTCACACCCATGTCAATGCAGCGTTCCATGCGGTAGTTCTCAGAGGCGCGAGATGGAGCTAGTGTTCATGCAATAGGATGGGCTTCCATCAGGCAACAATCTGAGCTGGCTGGGGACAAACCAGAAAGCTCCAATTAGATATGTTAGCAAGCACGGGTATCAAAATGTACACAAGCAAATTGGAATTAGCATGTTGCATGTACCGGATATAAAAGAAGTGGGACTGCCTATATATTTGTCGATAAATTTTCCCCCAAAAATTTGACAGATGTAATTACAGTACAATCGTAGTGTAGTTACACTGTAACTTATATGTAATTACACTGTAACTTGCATGTAACTATAGTATAACTTATATGTAAGTTTCACATAATTTTGAATCGTTAGATCTATTACAAGATTTGTTTTGGTGAGGAAAAAAACAAATCATAGCACACACATATATGAAAGAATTTGTTCTCACGACCTCCATTTTACCGAAATAACATGTTACGGAGAGATTTTTGAAAGTTACATACAAGTTACACTATAGTTACAGTGTAATTACATGCAAGTTACAGTGTAATTACACTACGATTGTACTGTAATTACATCTGTCAAATTTTTGGGGGAAAATTTATCGACAAATATATAGCAAAATCGAAAAGAAGTAGATTAGGAAGACATGCACGACCACAGTGTCTGCTCCGCCAGTGAATTTCCCTAGACCCAACGCGACATGTAGTGATTGGTTCAGTGGGCGGAGGTAGTGGCGACGTTGGAGGAGGGGATGGCGATGACTGACACAACGAGGACTCTAGGCTCATGCGCACTGGCGGCGGTGGCATGTCATCCTCGTTATCATAGTCTTCCTCTCTAGGCGATATGGTCTTGTGTGGCTTTTGGGGTGGAGGCTGCTTTGCCGGTGATGTAAGGGATCACGGTAAGTCGGTAACGAACATGCCCGATGTGCAGGTTGTGGTGGTGGACATGCACAGAGAGGGCAATGAGAGGGATGGAGAGATATGAATAGGGTTCAGTGAAAGGTGGGTCCTATAAACTGACTCATCACCATGAACAAGTCAAAGTGCCATGTCGGATGAAATCATTATGCAAACTATCTACTATGCATTGGTTTTAATAGTTGAGGTAGTCTCTTGGTTTTATAGTTAAGGGATGTAAAGCGAACTCAGGCTACAGTTGAGGTTGAGGGAGGCAAGATGGATTTTTTTCCTTATAATGATGTCAAGTTGATTCCGGGAGGATCCACGATCTCCACAACTTCATCTTTCTCACCGTAGCGTTGTCGTCGAACTTAGGTCACACAGTTCATAATTACTCCTTCCGTTTTCAAGACTAGAATATGGCCATGTCCCTAATTGCTTAGTTTTAATTTCAACATTTAGTGTTAGTGTTAGAGACAGATCTAGCCTCATCAATCGTGTATTACTTACTTATTAATTCCTCGAATGACATGAACTGTATAAATTGTGTAAGGTAATTAGTTTTGACTTATTTTTTTTAACCTTTCTATGTTTAATTAAGAGATAATCTATTCTATCACATTAAGTTTGCTCTAGTTCAATAATTTACCATCAGGATATTTCTATACTTTTTACAATATGCCATTTGGCCGAATACTTTTTCAAAAATACTGAAAATGCCATTGTGGACTCAAAGAGTTATAATGATTGGCCATACTAGAAGTTTTATATAGTTATTTTTTTCTCTATCCTGGAATAACATAAAAGTTAGTCTATACATTTCAATATTTTTGGCCTTTTGCATGTATTTTTTTCTGAAATACTTATCTATTCATGTGATAAACAACTATATGGATACCACATACCTAATAGTAGTTGACTAAATCTCGGCAGGACCCACCACATACCATGTCTTATACGAAAACTGACTTCGGATATGGAGGGAGTTCCGGAGAAGGGAAGACAACCAGAGTTCTACATGGAAACGACAAGGACTACTCTTGGACAAGGGGACACTTATGGGTATAAAATACAAGGCCCCCTAGGAGGAGAGGGGACACAGAACAATAGATCAAGACACAAGATCAACATACAAGCCAATATACGCCAAGACACACCGCCGGATATCGACATCAGAGAAATGCCTGGACTGACCCTATCCGGTACCTACAGAGGCCGGGTATAGGGATCTAGCGCTGTCTCTGATCTCGCCGGGCACGAACTCGAGGAGGAAGACTACCCTGTTGTCGACAACAGTTAGATAGGCTACTCCAAATATTATACTGGTGTGATTATGGTGAATAAGAGCAACGATCGGCTTCGGCCAACAGGATGTAGGGCTATTACCTGACAATTCAGGGGCCCGAACCTATATAAAAATCCTCATCTCCGTCTCTTTTACCTTAATCTCGCATATATCCTGGTACCAAACGATCCCCATACTGTGCAAATACCGGAATCGCGACATCAAACGTCGACAAGTCCTTACTTTTTAATATGATTAACCTAAAACTATTGTTTATTATAAAAAAATATTATAAAAAATAAATATTACTCCCTCCGTTTCACAATGTAAGTCATTCTAGCATTTCCCACATTCATATTGATGCTAATGAATCTAGACATATATACCTATCTAGATTCATTAGTATCAATATGAATGTGGAAAATGCTAGAATGACTTATATTGTGAAACGGAGGAAGTATTGTATACTCGAACTGAACTTGAGCGAGCCTACTTAAAAGCTCAAGGTGGTATAGATTTGGCTCGAGCTTTTCTCAAGCTCGAGCCTATGTAGCCTGGCTCGGTCGAGCTGATCAGCTCGTTGACATTCCTAATTGTTTTGATTGTCATCCACTACCAACAATCGATATACTCGATTATATCGTATACTGATTGATCTCCTAATATAATCACTGCTTGGCGCATGATCTACTTGCTCACTACATGATCTCATCTAAAAGGACAAAAAAAAAATTCTAAAACTTTTGATGTTGTTTGGATTTTAAATTTCGTAAAAAAAATAATCACCTCATGAATAATATTATTAAGAAATCTTGAACTAAGCCACATTTGTCACTTGTCAGCAGAGAGCCAGAGATGAGGTTTGGCTTGCCTGAGGGGTTAGAATGTAACAAATCCGAAGCAAGAAGGGTATAATTACAATATTACATGTTGTTTAACGAAGATGAGAAGGCCAAAAAAATCTGAGCCCCTAAACCCCTCAAGATCAACCACCCAGGTGCCACGAGGGTTTAAGCGAAAGCCCCCGCATCGAACCAAACACCGGCTCCCCCAACCGCACCCCCCTCCTTCCGTTGGCGGCGGCGGCGGCGGCGCGGCGCCATTCCCCTTCCTCCGCCACCCTCCTGTTGATGCCCTCCTCCCCAACTCCGGCCACCGCACCAATCTCGTGTTCGCCATCTCCTCCTCTCCACCTCCACCTCACCGCCCGCCGCCAAACCCTAGCGCCCCCCATGTGGCGCCGCCTCCCCGCCCGCCGCCTCGCCTCCGCCCTCCTCTCCTCCTCCGCCCCGCTGCCCCACCCTCTCCACCGCAGCCTCCTCCTCCTCCTCCCTGCCGCCTCACAGCGTCTCGCGCCGTCGCAGACGCTGCCGCGGTTCGCGTCCTCCTCCGCCGCCGTCGCCGCCGAGTCCGTCTCCTCCGAGGAGGTCGACGAGTTGCACCACGCGATCGGGGAGATCGCCCGCGGGGACCCGAGCGTCTCCGCCCCGGCTCCGGCGGCGGGGCAGGAGGGGCATAGGAGGAGGTCCGGGAGAGGGAAGCACTCGGCCGAGGCTATGGCGGTTCCGGCGGCGGGGCAGGAGGGGCATAGGAGGAGGTCCGGGAGAGGGAAGCACTCGGCCGAGGCTATGGCGGTGCACGGGGTCGGGTACCACAAGTATGCGATGCTGCGCCGGCGGCAGATCCAGATTGAGACGGAGGCGTGGGAGCAGGCCGCCGAGGAGTACCGCGAGCTGCTTGCTGACATGTGCCAGCAGAAGCTGGCGCCCAACCTGCCCTATGTCAAGTCGCTCTTTCTTGGCTGGTTCGAGCCACTGCGAGACCAGATCATTGCCGAGCAGGAGCTCGTGGGTGAGCGCGGCGCGCGGGCCTCCCATGCCCGCTATTTCAACATGCTCCCGGCTGATATGATGGCCGTCATCACCATGCACAAGCTCATGGGTCTACTCATGACCGGTAGCGGCGATGGAAGTGTCCGAGTCATCCAGGCTGCGTGCCAGATCGGCGAGGCAATAGAACATGAGGTTTGTCGGCTGTGGCTGAGTTCTGTATCTTCTTGTTTGTTTTACTTTTCAACTCTGCGCTCCATTCAAGAATAGTTATTGGTTAATGATAGCTTTTAGGAATGAGAACAAAACATAATTCAGGGGTATCAGTCCTTGGGTCACAAAATATTTTACACGCATCACGACATGCCACGGTAGGTGCGGAGATATGATATGACCATAGGCCATTGGACCTTTAGGATGAACGCTGGCAGAATTCAAAATGTTCTATATTTCAATACTATTAAGTTAAATATATTTCTTCCTGCAGTTTTCAGCGCTTAACATCATTAGAGCTTATCATGATTGCATTACCAATTTATTTTTCTTTTGGAGACGTATGGTTGTATGAAATTATTGGAGAAGTATGTGTGTATGAGTTCAACTATTATTGAACCATGGTTGAAATAAAGATCAAGAGCCTCCTAATATAGGCCTCATCAGAAGCCTATATGATTTGGTTAGTTCCTTAGAATTGTGCTTTGCTAGCAGTGGGGCTCCTTCAAATAACCTCAGGTAAAAATATTTGTCAAATATGCAGAATTTTTTCTACCATAACTGAGAATAGTGTTCGTGTTTTTCAGATATAATTTGGTAGTATTCTTGCAGAGCTTTGATTATCTAGCTAGTTCATGTTTCCCTCTGAACCCACCAATTTAGTTAAAAAAATTCCAACTATTGTCCAAACAAAGTTATGCCATGAAATTATACCTTTATTGGCTCTCATTCGTCTATTATTTTCTTAAATATTTTGAGAATATGTTAATTTTCAATTTTCAATATTTTGTTTCGACTAAACTATTATTGTTGCCAGTGCACCAATTATGGCGACAGTAATTTATGCAATAACATTGCTGCTGCTAATGAATAAATGTATATGTCTTTGCCCTTTGTTCCTGTATAGGTTCGAATCCACAAATTTCTAGAGAAGACAAAGAAAAAAAGCAATAAAGAAATGGATAATGAAGAAGAAGGAGGTGATTCAGACATTGCCAAAGAACAAGAGCGTCTAAGAAAGAAAGTCACTGATCTGATGAAAAAGCAAAAAATACGGCAAGTAAGAAATATAGTAAAGAAGCAAGATAACTCCAAGCCATGGGGTCAAGATGCTCATGCAAAAGTACGTGTCTCTTGCTGAATCTGGTTAATATAATGTTTCATTACAACACTATTTTGACTGATGATAGTTTCTATGTCTTGCTGCTTAGGTTGGTAGTCGTTTAATTGAGCTTATGATTGAGACAGCCTACATACAACCACCTGCTAGCCAATCAGCAGATGGTCCACCTGATATCCGTCCTGCTTTCACACATGAAATGAGAACTGTGGCAAGAGAGCAACAGTAATAATGGCAACTCTAATTTTATATCTTCTTTTACAAAAGCAGTTTGGTGTTTCGTCCTAACTCATCATTGTAATCAAACAGGAAGAGTAGTCGGCGATATGGTGTGATCAAGTGTGATCCGCTGGTCCGGCAAGGGCTTGATAGAACAGTGAGTGGATCCTTCTGCTATCGTCTTGATTCTGTCAAAAGACTCTTCTGATCTTGCATTCCTTGATTTCCTCATGAATAATGTTTTTCCTTTGACAGGCAAAGCATATGGTCATACCTTATATGCCTATGTTAATTCCGCCTATCAGTTGGACTGGGTTGGTACCTTTTGCTTATCTATGTTTCTTGGAGTTCTTTGGCTGCTATACTATCCATTTTAACAAATTAGATATGTGGTATATTTTAAATAATATGTTATTGCACCTAATAGTCGAGATATTTTTTTCTAGTCCTATCTGATTAGTTCAGTGCAAGTTGGTGCTGTTTGGTGAGGCCATTGTTGCATTGACACTCTGAATATGAAGCAGACTGCTCTCTATTGACATCATGCAAATATTCTATAGGTATGACAAGGGTGCACATTTATTTTTACCATCCTATGTGATGCGCACCCATGGAGCTAGACAACAGAGAGATGCTGTCAGAAGAGCTCCAAGGGAACAAATGCAATCTGTGTTTGAGGTATTCATTTAACTTGCTCATAATTTTTATGCAAATTATATTAATAATTTTTAAGATACAATCATAAGATATTTGAGCACACCTGTTGTTATGTTACAGTTGCTTCTATTGTTCATATGCTCTTGGACATTGACATGTTGATGCCTTTTTATGAAGAGAAAATTCTCTATACTCTACATATCCACTCTGTTAACATGAATTGCCATAAGTGTACTGGGTGTCTGGGTCATAACCCTAAATACAACCCCCCCTCCCCCCCACCCAAATCCCCATCCCCACGATACATTCCACATGCTGCTCGCTTCTGCTTGCCTCTGCATCTCATGACTATGATTGGCTGTTCGCCTCTGTTTGCAACTGCCATTGACACCACCCACCTTCTCACCCTGGCAATGCTCGCCTCCACCCACTGTTCCACCCCTGACCGCACCCAATGCCAGCCTCCTCCCCAGCTCGGCCTCTGCACCCTGTCGGCAACGTTCTCCACCCCCAGGGACGCACCTCCAGCTCCTCCCAGGAACCCTAGTTCTGTTTTTCGGAACACAATAATATTATCATTTGCAGCTTTGATTAAAAGAAAAGCAATTTTTAAACACCAAAACCTCTAAAACAGCTGCACCAAATGAGATCTATCATAATCCACCTAAATGCCAAGAGGAGCTTTTGTGGTTCAACCATTTAATGCATTATTGGTCACAGGCCTTAAATACTCTTGGGAGCACCAAGTGGAGGGTTAACAAAAGAGTTCTTAGTATTGTCGACAGAATATGGTCAAGTGGTGGCCGGCTTGCTGACTTGGTCGATCGCACTGATGTGAGTTGTCATTTATTCTCATAATAATGCTGTGAGCATGTGACTCAGATTCAATGGTGGTGGTTTTATCAAGATACTTTAGTTTTAGATATCAACTAAAAAGTTTCATGTACTCTAGGTTGCTTTACCAGAGAAGCCTGACACAGAAGATGAAGACAAGTTGAAGAAATGGAGATGGACCTTGAGAGCAGCCAAGAAGGAAAATAGTGAAAGGCACTCCCAGAGATGTGATGTAGAACTAAAACTTGCCGTAAGAGACTATAACGGGTAACCATCATTTACTCACTTCATTGCTTCATCTAATGAATACTCATGTTGGTAACAGGTAGCTCGCAAAATGAAGGATGAAGATGGTTTCTACTATCCACACAACCTTGATTTTAGAGGCCGTGCTTATCCAATGCATCCTTACCTGAACCACTTGGGTTCAGATCTTTGCCGTGGAGTTTTGGAGTTTGCAGAAGGTCGTCCGCTTGGTAAATCAGGCTTGCGCTGGCTAAAGATACATCTAGCAAATTTATATGCTGGTGGTGTTGACAAGTTATCGTATGATGGCCGAATTGCATTCACGGAGAATCACTTGGAGGACATATTTGACTCAGCTGATAGACCTCTTGAAGGCAAACGATGGTGGCTTGGAGCTGAGGATCCATTCCAATGCCTTGCAGTGTGCATAAATCTCACTGAAGCTTTAAGAAGCCCCTCACCAGAAACGATGATCTCACATATTCCTGTGCATCAGGTACCTTAACTTTCTCTCATTTGCTTTAGAGAGCAATGATCAATTGGTAAATTCCTTATTTATGCAATATAGCTATGTAGTGATCATTTGATGGGGCTCTTGTTCTCATAAATATGGTTTTTTTGCTACTGATACATTTTTCATATGGCACTGCACGCCCATTTCCTATGGTTCATCTCAGTTGTTATCATCTATTTGTATTAATAGAGTTTGTTGTGAGTTATAACTTTCCAATACTTGAATCATTGTTGCAAGTTATTTCCTAATCATAATTGGTTGGTCGACTAGGTAGGTAACTGATGCAGTCTAACATATCTCATGCATATTGTAGGCATTCCATATCTGCTTTCGAACCACAAGTAGTTGGTTGACTAGTTGCTCACTTCGCTGAATTGGTCTTATACTGACTTGACTCAACGTGATAAACAGACTTAAAAATGATGTCTAACATTGCTTCCTTCTTTTTTAGTTTGTTGAGTAAATTATATATTTTTTTCCAGTTGGAGAGGGAGAATAACATTCATGTGATAGTGAAAACTCGCACATGGCTCACTTGCCAGCCTCACACTGGATTCTGTTTTCCACCACTAATTTCCTAGACAGAATAGCAAAATCTAGTGTGTTGTTAAATTTGTTTATGTTTTAATCCTTCTAAATGCAGTCTACTCGCAACACAGTTTTGATTTTCGCTAAGATTCACTTCCATGTTTAATCATAACTACAATAACATTTTCCTTTTTCAGGATGGTTCTTGTAATGGCCTGCAGCACTATGCTGCTCTTGGAAGGGATAAGGTCAGTTTGTGTTTGAATAGTTTTGGTGTTTTCATAAGGATTATTTAGTCAGGCATGGATCATCATCATCATTTTTTTTTTGGCTAGTAGAGTTAATGATTTTCTTATCAATTTCATGTAGTTGGGAGCCATTGCTGTGAACTTAGTTGCCGGGGAGAAGCCTGCAGATGTTTATACTGGAATAGCTACCAGGTATGTTTGGATGGCATTGTGTTTAGCATTGCACCTTGTTTATGGTAGGATGCAATGCTCCATTGCAACATACTGGGCATGTTTGGTTGTCTGCATTTTCCCAGCCTGGTTCACATGTCTCATCCTGGCTAGCCTTGGCCTGGCTTCGCAGATAAAAAATGGCTTGTTTGGTTGCCTGTATCCTTTGGGCCTTGATTAAGATTTGAGATGTTTGGTTGGCTAGGAAAGGAGGGTGGTCAGATTTTTGCATGCATAAAATTTTGATTGGTTGGTTGGTTGCATGAACATTGAATTTGGTTGCCTTGTCACTTGGGTGGTGAGATTACCCACTTTGCTCATGGGAATTAGCTATTGTATATTCGTTAACAATATATTAACACCTGTAGTTACCTGTACTAATTAATTGTTATGGGTCTGAATACACAGAAGAAAGACAATGATGATATACCTGCCACTGGTTCTTGGTCCCACATTTACATGTCTTGAGAATACTTTTGAGTTTTGACTGGCTCATTAGCACTAACTACATAGTACACACACATTTTATTAGCCATCTAGTGTTGGATAGCCTTTGTAGCAGTAGTTCTTGTAGGAAAAAACATGATTGTGGCAACCTTCTCCAGCTGCATATCACCACCAGCTTGCTTGGATTCAAAAAAGAAAAAAAATATCAGATACACAGCAAGCAGTAGTAACTACAAGACATAGTATGGTTAATTGAAGTAACAAATCAAATTGGTACATGAGATAAATCCAAGAGGAATCAAACAAATATGCCACCAATTGCTAGATCCATGCAGTTCTTAGCTTCGGTGCAAAAATTTCAATCACTTACTTCCTCCGTTTCATAATGTAAGTCTTTCTAGTATTGCCCACATTCATATAGATGTTAATGAATCTAGACATATATATGTGTCTAGATTCATTAACATCTATATGAATATGAGCAATGCTAGAAAGTCTTACATTATGAAACGGAGGGAGTAGTTTTTAATGTCAAATTCCAACCATTATGCATAATTAACAGATCTAGCCAAGATTGATCTCAAATAAACCCAAAAAGCTAGGAGAATTGACCATTAGCAACTTTACTCCGCCCAGACTAGGTACATGATAAATCAAACGCTAGAGCGAAAAAAATCACAAGAGGGGAAAACCAGAAAGGAACGCAAGGAGGCATGCACTGCCTCCTTGATACCAGTTTCCACCATGAGCAGATCCAAATAGCACACTTCTGACGTAGACATCAAGCTCTGCCTCTCTTCCTATCCCCAGATTACTAGGTTTGCCTCAAGTACAAGAGCACATGCACAGATGATACTGTTGACGGGAGCACATGTGCGGTAGTGACAACATGGATCTGGAGTGGAAGAACCGGGAATCGCTTCTGTGGTGACTGGTGCTGAGATTCCCTGGTTTTCGGCAGTCGATTGGCAAGCTCAATCAGGATGACCGAGGAGAGGGGGAAAGAGAAAGATGAACGCAAATGAGGAAGGGGAGGTGAGTGGAGCCTAGAGGAGAGAGAATGTTTCCATCAGGCCTTGGCTTGGTGAGCCGTTTACATGAGATGGGCCTGGCTGGGAGCATAGATCAGGCAACCAAACAGTCCAGTTTTACATCCGCTCATGCAAGCCAATCCTGACCAGGCAACCAAACAGACCCATAGCATATGCTGTACCCGTACCTATTTGCATTCTGTGCATCATGCACACTGAATTCCTCATTTTTGGTGAATTCCAAATTATTGCGTGAATGCAATATTACAAGCTAATTCTAGATTAGTTCAAAGATGTAGTGTGTTATTTTAATCCATGGCTTAGCAGAAAGAATTTTGTTTCTGCAGGTTACAACACTTCCCATTGAGTAAGCAAGTATTCCAGTATTATTCTAATTTTTAGAACTATATAACCAAATTGGGTCCTACCAGATCATAGAGATGCATGAGAATTTGGTTTGTTATCATGATGTACAATATTGGATATAAGTTTTAATCCTTGATTAGAAAATGTACTCACTGATACAATTCATGCTCACTATTATTTATCTGTAACAAGGTCACTGGAATAGGCCAATATTCTAATGTACAGTATCATACACAATCAAAATTGATATTTAGTTGAGGTCCTTCTTAGTCATTTTAAACTAGTGCCTAAAAATTGATTAAATCTAGATTTGAGGATCATCAGGTCTAGTTTATCAATCTTGATGCAACTGATGCCATATCTTAGAATTAAGATGGCGAGTGGTTCATAGTTTCTGTACTTGTGCTAGGGTGGTGGAAATTATGAAGAACGATGCGCTAAAAGATCCTGCTACAGATCCTGATGCAGCACGCGCACGTCTGCTACTTGATCAGGTAGTTCTTCATATATTTTTTAGTTCCTGTTGTATTTGCTCACATGACTAGCAGGATGGATGTTCTCAAAATCGAAGAGATTTGGTTTTCAGATGAATATAGGCCTGAAAACATTAGTCCTCAAGAAAATCGCCATCTGATGTTTTGCTACAATCTATTAAATTCTCTAATGCTATTTACGATAACTATATGTTAAAAATGGCTAATTAGGTTCCTAAACAACACTTTATTTCATATTTTTGAATGATAAGTACCGATTCATCATCCAATTTTGCCCAAAATGGTTCACAGTGAGTTGTCTTATTAGCCATTTTGGAAATTTGTTAAATCAGTGCTCAGGGAATGAAAGAAGAAATTACTTCGGGATTCTTTTCTTTCACTTAATTGATCTGTTTATGTAAAAGTTTGCTGCCTATGAAATAGTGATAGAAGGGTGTTTTGGTGCTTGATGCTGTTCGGTTGATACATAACCTTGCTGTTGAGAGGTCCATGGATTAGAGTTTACCCTTTAATCTTTTACCTGCTTGATTATCAATTGCAGGTTGACAGGAAATTGGTAAAGCAAACTGTGATGACATCTGTGTATGGTGTCACTTATGTTGGAGCACGTGAGCAAATAAAAAGAAGATTAAAGGAGAGAGACATGATTTGTGATGATTCAGAACTTTTTAGTGCATCATGCTATGCTGCTAAGGTCGAATGTCTTATTCAGTGGAACTGTTTTATTTCATTATCCTACATAAGTGTAATTAAATTGACCATATAATATTTATTTATTTATTTATTTTTGATGCTTGATAGGTTACTCTGACAGCACTTGGTGAGATGTTCCAAGCTGCCCGCAGCATTATGAACTGGCTTGGTGACTGTGCCAAGGTACGATAGTTATCCTAAGACAGCTGCATTATACCAATTTGATGCTGTAAATACATTTTGCAGCAATAAAATTCATGTCTATATCAATTTTTGCATCAACAAAATCCATGTCTATGTCACTTTTCTACAGTGGCATCCTACCTCTTTAATTGGTATTGCAATTTAGGAAAGACGCAAGTTGTGAATTACCTCACCTGTTCTTTATGACAGGTAATTGCTTGTGAAAATGAACCTGTGAGATGGACAACCCCTCTTGGACTCCCAGTTGTTCAACCATATCGCAAGCTTGGGAGGCATCTTGTAAGTGTTATAAGTATTTATTTTATTGTTGCCAACTTGCAATATGCCTCAGACATGATGTAATAAGGCAACATGTGCCTTCTGTTGTTCTGATATTAAAGTGGCATTCTTGATGTTCTCTTTGCAGATTAAAACATCATTACAAGTCCTGACTCTTCAACGTGAAACAGATAAGGTATTATCAATTTGGACTATATTCCACATTCTGACAATATCGCTATCAGCTGGTTGCTGGTCGAAGTGTGTGTGATGATGACATGTAGTAGTGTAGTGCACTTTTTGATTAAGGAATGGACCAGATTTCCCATCAATGGGTCATCTAATGAATTGTGTCACGGCTTTATTCCTGATATTTCATTCATCGTGGACATATGTTAAGATCGGATGAACTAGGATTAACCCATATCCTTTCCTCAAAGTAAACACCTCACTTGGTTTCTATTTTATTTTTTATAAAAACATTCCACCAGTCACTGACTACCGGGTGCTAGTGCCTTTTTTCAGATTTCCCGCTTAGAACTTAGTTTTGTTTAGCACATGTGTTATGAGAAAACAAGCTTTTGAGTCCACAAGTATGCTCTTGTTAAGTGTCTGGTTTGAACTTTTGACATTACCAAATCAAGGTGAACAGCCATTATATTTTTATATTTTGCACATCTGCTTAAACAAGCTGAGGCCGGCAACTGCAATTTATTAGCTCATCGCATCAACTGTGGTACTCCAATCATCATTCAACATCAGCACTATGTACAATCTGCAAAGACTGATGCCATGTTTTGCTCATTTGCTTACTGATCAGTTCACTGCCTGTGCAATCCCTGTGGTAATTGTGCAGAAAATGGGTTATTGAACTGTGGACGCAAATGGATTATTTTCCTCATCACTTGCTGTTGTATCTTGGAATCTAATAGATCTTTAGAATACTTGATACTTTACACTAAAATTCACTCAACCAGGTTATGGTGAAGCGGCAGAGGACTGCTTTTCCTCCAAATTTCGTGCACTCCCTTGACGGTTCTCATATGATGATGACCGCTGTTGCTTGCAAAAGGCAAGGACTAAATTTTGCAGGTACCAGTTTTACTGTGTTCTGGGAAGTGTTTATATTATCCCTTGCATTAAGCGCTTAAGGAGAAGTACATTAGTCGCAACATTTTTTTAAAATCAATGCAGGAGTGCATGATTCGTATTGGACACATGCTTGTGATGTTGATACAATGAACAAAATACTACGAGAGAAGTTTGTGGAACTCTATGATACGCCTATCCTCGAAAATGTGTGTATTTTCTTATCCCGGTTATTATCACAGATATTTAACAACCATTCTATCTTGTTCAGAATATCACTTAAGAAAAATCAGATTTTTTTTTCTGGCATACTTTTCTTGCTCCTTAAGTAATTTTGCTTGGATTATTTTTCAAGTTCCCCAACAAATATATGGATTAATATGAGAATGAGACCATCGAAATATGTGAGTTATGTGCACCTCCTAGCATAATTAGGGCATTCCCAATAGATAGTTACTATAGTTTAAATAACTAATAAAAGAGAGGAAGAGAATGCCTCTAATAACAATTGCGTTAGTTTGTTGCTAAGCATGTTACCAGGTGAGAGTATTGGGTAAATTAATTTGTTTCTGCTTGTATCTCTCCTCAGAAAGCATTTTTTCAGTGTGAAATATTTGTCTAATGGTGCAATTGAGAATAATAAATGTGTGTTTCCCTTGTCTTCCCATGCTTCTAAAGTTGTTGAGTGTTAAGCATTTCCATTTATTTGCTATGTAGGGTAGCTGAAAGATAGTCTGAGATAAGTGTTCTCTTTCATAATATCCTAGAAATATCAGTATTAATACAGTTTTTCTTTGCAGTGCATGATTTGCATGTTTACCGTGTTGGCATTTGCTGGTTTTTCTGTGTTATTCTTTGTGTGATAGTGAGTGTTGAAGTGACAGGTTGCATAACTGACAGTATTTTTTTGGTGCAGTTGTTGGAGAGCTTTGAGAAATCTTTCCCTGAATTAAAATTTCCTCCATTGCCAGAGAGGGGAGATTTTGATCTCACGGATGTCCTGGGATCCCCATATTTCTTCAACTAAGTCAAGCTGTGGTGGAAAGCATGTTATTCTACCTTGCTTTGCTGCCCACCTGTGGCCTGGAGTTCTATTGAAGTATATGAGCGGCCCAGCAGTCTCAGATGACGAAACTAATTCTTTTGCTAGCTGACTGAAAAATTCGTGGATGTCTTGCGTGAAAGCTGAAGGTATACCTAGAAAAAAGCATTTTAAACAGAGCTGGCCAAGGAGATAGTTGAGGGGATGTCTTCAAGCAACAGTCAAATAAGTGGGAACCGATCAAGAAAAGCTCTGGGAGTAGGTTTTGTTGCGTTTAGGCTTACTGTAGTTTATATATTAGTGACTTTCTTGCTATTCTTTTTTTTTTAATATCAGGCTCACGTTTAGCACGGATACATCTTGGAAGATGTTCTGGTCCATGTAAATGTAATTATGTAATTTTTTGCCCTCTTAAGTTTTTTTCTTTTTTTCTTTTGTGCAATTTATAGAGGGGGTGAATCTGATGACTAAATACCGGCAAAACACTAATTTATACTAGTTATCATTGCGGTTGTAAGGTAACATCTTAAATAATAAAGTGATATAGGTTGGCTTCCTCATCATTTCAGACGTGTATGTTTCGGGCTTGCTGACCTTGAAGATATCATGCTTTCACAATTCTGTCCAACGTCTCAAATGTGTTGTATAACCGAGTGAGTGTTCATTTTGGCGCATCTCATTTTTGTTAAATTAGAATGATTCCAATATGTTTTCAATGGTTTGTGTTTGCTATGATTTCCGATTTCTTATATACCCCACCAGTCCATCAAAGTTTTCTTGAGTTTGGTTGTGAAATAATTGTACCCATTATTTTATTTATAATAATTAATTATCCGGAAATTAAATAACCAGTAAATCAGCAGTGATATTTTTTTTACTATTTTCATAATTTGTACAATATTTACTAAATATTTAATTTCGTGATAATTAATTATTATATATATATAAATTTTGGGGTATCGTAACTAAAATGCATGGCATCAACCCGAAGACTTAGTTAGCATTTGGTGGTAAGTCTAAGGACTGTTTAAAAATATTTTGATTGTCTTAACTCCTAAATGTATTCTCCGATAAAAACCTACGAAACGTATATCTAAAAATATATGTATAAAAACAGAAAAGTAACTAAGCGGAGATGTCCTTTTATTTCACCGCGCGTCTGTACGCTCCACATGTGACCGGATCGAATTTTATCGTCAGTTATCTTTCTAGCGAATCTCTAATTATATATAGGTCTGGTCAGTTACCTTCCTAGCAAATCTCTAATTATATAGGTTTGGTCTTTTTGGGTACACGTGTATGATACATGGTCTAGCCTAAGGCAATTCCTTGGATCTACTAGTACAAACTACACCACGATCATATGGAAGCCCTAGGCACTGAGAAAATAAGTTCTTTGCATAGCTAATCGTACAAAAATAGAGTATGGACATCAGACCGACTCGCAACACGTGGATGGCAAAATAATGCCTACTGCCCGCTGGCCTCTTTGCCGGCATACCATGGAGACAGGCCTACACCTCATGGCGGAATGTGGATACACCAGAAGGTTTGGAGTTTGATTTCTTACGATCAAATCGAACCAACAAATTGGAGGAACCCTGTGACGATCCACGAGTGATGGTCGAACCTGGCTTTCACCCCGTAGGTACCAAAAAAAAGGCTTGCGTAGCCTTATCCTTCTGACTTCTTAGAAACTATGGAAATGGTGAAATCAATCGGTGTTCGAACTCAAAAAGCTATCGGCAACAAATCTAGTCGCCAAGATCAAAGAGGAGGCAAAAACTTGGACCTTGGCAGGAGCAAAGGGTCTTTGTAGCATAGTACCTTAGGACTCACGCTTTTCCCCTTTTTGTAAATATTCCATAAACACTGTACAGTTTTTCTCATGCTTTCTTTTGGGGGAAAGAATGCTTTATTGATCACTCATTGATATAATTACAGTCATTAGCGAGTGCCTCAAGAATACATGAAGGGGCCTGCAAGCGCCAAACTGCTGAGTGATTTGTTCGCATAGCTAACTTGGCCAGATTATGAGCTACGCTATTGCATTCTCTCCTAGTCTTCTGGATTCTAAAATCCGGTAAAACAGCCAACAAAGACTTTATGCTATGAAGTGTATGGCACAGCTTCGATCTATCAGTTCCCTGGTTCTTCAGCAAACATACCAAATTTGCACAGTCTGTTTCAAGGATCAAAGGTTGTTTCACCCATTCAGCTGACAGGTTTACACCCTCCCAAGACGCAATCGTTTCCGCTTCCTCAGCCGAGCTACAGTGATTAATGACCCTCCATGGGGTAAGCAGAACCGAACCAGTGCTATCACGGATGACAATCCCCGCAGGTCGCGCAGCCTGAACTCTGGACGAACGAACCGTCCACATTAGCCTTTGTCTAGCCCGTCGGTGGTGGAGTCCATCTATCATTAATGGCAGGGGTTTGGTTACAGTTCTCCTTCAGAACACTCTGTTGCAGAATAAGGGACCTTTTCCTTTCTCATCTAACTTCCCACCAATCCTGGTCATTGTTAAGGACTCCCATTAGCTCTGAAGGAAAATTGAGCTTCCCTGCACTGATGCTTTCCCATAGCCATGCACACAATCATTCCGGAGAAACCATGATCTCCAGAGAAGCAGGAGGAACTTTGCCCGGCCCTCCGGATTGATGGAATCAAGAATGATTAAGAGCCAATCCGGTCCACTCCTGATCAGACAACTCTCCTTTGGCATCTCCCATACCTCCCGTAACAGTGATCTCAGGGCAACAGCTCGGGTACAGGAGATGGCAGCATGAAAGCAGTCTTCATCTTCATATCCACATATACGGCAAGTTGCATTCACCTCCAACTTGCGCTTCTTCCGATTAACCATTGTAGTAAGACCTTCCCTGGCTAATCTCCTAGCAAAGATTTTAATCTTTTGCGGCACTAGTGTAGTCCATATGCTTGCCCAAATTTTTCGTTCTCCGCTTGTCTCGGAGCTAGAAGAACCCAACTCAGATATATTCATATGATTTGTCAAGGCTAGTCGGTAAGCACTGTGGACTGAGAAAAATCCTGTCTTCTCATAGTGCCAAGCTAGCAAATCCTCTGTTCTGACTTGCGGCAATTTAATCTTCAAAATTTTCATTGGCATCATACTGGGAGCAAACATGATGGATGAGATTTGTATTCCAGGTGTTTGTCTCCTGATTGATCAGTTGATAAACCCACCTGAGGCGGCATCTCCCACTCTGGCGTGATAGTCCAAAGCTGGATTCTCTAGGAATCCACTGGTCCTTCCAAATTCCATCTCCGATTCTCCAAATTAAGCCTTTCTTAAGTAACTCAAGGCCATGTTCAACAGCTTTCCATGTAGGTGAGGTATCCGATGGGAAAACAGCATCAATGAGATCACAGTTCGGATAATATTTGGCCTTTAGAATTCTCGCTCAAAGACTGTCAGGATACTGAATAAGACGCCAAGCTTGCCTTCTTAGTAAAGCCTGATTGAACAGTTGTAAGTCCCGAAAACCTAATCCCCCCATATATTTTGGTAAGATCAGGTTCTCCCAGGCTGTCCAGTGAATCTTCCTTTTGTTTTCGTCATCTCCCCACCAAAAGTCTCTTATCATTTTGTATATTCATCACACACAGTAGCAGGCAATTTAAATACTCCCATAACATATGTCGGGATAGCCTGTGCGACTGATTTGATTAGAATCTCTTTAGCCCCAGACGACATATATTTTTCAGACCAGTCAGTGAGCCTCTTAGCAAAACGTTGCTTCAAAGTTTTGAACTTTCCAGCCTTCATCCTACCCTCCAGAGTAGGTAATCCCAGATATTTCGTCTCAAAAACAGTTGATTCAACCTGCAAAGCCTGTCTTATATTCTCCCGTAGCTCATCCGGGACATCTGCACTAAACAACAGAGAACATTTTTGAAAGGGTCAATTAGCCCTAGAAGGGGAGTGAATAGGCTAATTTAAAAACTTAAGTAAAGCGGAAGCAAGAATTTTCGGAACTAAGCAAGAATTTTTGGAACTTCCGAAAATACTCAGAGCAGTCGAACAAAAGAGGATAACTCTAGATCAATAGCGGCACAAGCAAGCAAAGCTAGAGGAGAGGGATGAAGAAATATCACCAAGATGAAGCTCACAAAGTTGTTCCCGGAGTTCAAATCCTTAAGGGGATTCTACTCTCTATTGAAGAGCTCACTAAGAGCCGGGTCTTAGCTAACCCTTTCCTCAAGAGGTTGCACTAAGCACCCCTCCTTCCACTAAGAGGTATCTCTTTCCTTGCGGAGGCGAGATCTGGCATTCACAAACTTCTCCCGGCCAACCACACGTAGATCAGTGGCTCGGGAGCAACACCTAGCCGTCTAGGAGTCCTCAACCTCCAAGAGTAAAAGATGATGCAAGGAACTCCTGGAGATGATGCAAGTGCTCACAAATCTTTACGAAGACCACAAGAAGCACCCACACAAACTCGAATCCACACTCTCACACACACACCTGTAGGATCGAGATGTCGACTAGAGGGGGAGGGGGGGGGGTGAATAGGCGATTTAAAACTAAATGACACCTAATCAAAACTAACATAAGTTGCTAGGCTTGGTGAGGGTCAACTCTAACTAAGTAACTAAGTTATGTTTTGCAAACCTAGGGTGACAGTGGCTCAATTATATCTCTAGGAAAGTAAATCACACTCCTATGTCAATGTTTAGCAATCCTAGGGTGATATGATCTCAAGAATGTCTCTAAAAATATAAATTGTACAAATGTAAATGTGACAATCAAATGAGACAAGGAGACAGAGATTTTTCACCGAGGTTCGGAAACTTGCCGGTTTCCTACTCCCCGTTGAAGCGAGCCCAACTCCGCCGCTCAACCACGAAGCCACCGCACGCCCCCTTTGTCAAGGGGTGGGCAAGGCGGGAGCCGGCCCATGGAGAGGACTACCCAAGCCTCGATCACTAGGGTAGTTCTTCCTTCACTCCGAAGGTGGTGAACTCCAAACCACTCACAACCGGCACCGGACCTCCTCCACAATCTTCTCGGAGAGATCACCGGGCAACTCCTCCACAAGCCGTCTAGGAGGCGGCAACCTCCAAGAATAACAAGCAATGACCCTGCGTGGAGATGATCAATCAAGTGCCACACTAGCTCTACAAATGGAAGCAATGCACTTGACTCTTGGCTAATTAACCCTCTAACACACTAGATGTATGAACACAAAACTCAAGTGGGTGTGAGAGAGGTGCAAGGGGTGTATGCAATTGAATTGGGTGCCAAGAGAGTCCCCTTGCTGCTGGAGGGGGGGTATTTATACTCCCACCAACCAAAACTAGCCGTTGGGGGCGAAATCCCCCAACTCTGTGCTCTGCCGGTTTGACCGGAGGTATGTGGCCGGTCAAACTGTGCTACTCTACAACGGCTGTCATTGGGCCCCACAGCCGTAGCCGGTCAGACCGACATGGGGTGGCCGGTCAGACCGGCCTCGGCTTGGTCAGACCGCCATCAGCTCGGTCTGACCGAATATGGCTCCGGCGGCTCGGGATCAGCACACCGAGACGGCACCATCC